GAAGAAAAGTAGAAATTTTTTTTTTTTAAAAAAATAAGTGACCAAACGGTCACTGAAAAAAGGCTCGTCTAAGACGAGCCCACGAGCCCTCGTCTCACGAGCGGCTCGGCGAGCCGCTTGTGAATAGTGACTAGCCGAGCGGGCTCGGCTCGTCTAGCCCACCTGCCCGCTCGGCTCGTGCTCGGGCTCGTTTTTTTACGAGCCCGAGCGGCTCGTGGGCGTGAACAGTACGAGCCGAGTATGCGAGCCGACGAGCCACTCGGCTCATTTAACACCACTACATCCAATACTCACTTCCCTTTTTTGTTTCTCTTATTCTCTCTCTTCATTCAACAATTTTTTTTTTTAATTATAAGCGATTTTATGAAATATCTCCCCTTTCTCTCTGCCATTCCCTAGTTCTTGCTGCTTGGGTTTAATCTGCCAGATTCTGAGGTATTTTTCAAACACAGATATTATGTAATGCAACATTTTTTGCTTCAGTTGCTTATGATGTGTTATTGCTTATGGTCTGAATTTTTTGCTAAGGAAAAAGAGATGTTTTGTTAGCACATGTAGTTCATGTCCCTTTTCCTCTGTTAGCTACATTAATATATGGGTAATATGCATCATTTATGCTTCCTGATTTATTAAACGACGAGGTTCTGTTCAATGATGAAACTCTTTGCTTGCTTACTATATGAGTCTATGCTGTGCAGACACTAGTCATTTCTTTTGCGTTGCATTATTTAACCACCTATATTTATCAAATGATATACTATGCAGGTAAACAGATTTTATCTTGAATAAGTTGCTATTAGAAATTAGTTATTAATTGATGAACTCAAAAAAAGGGTCTTTGCCCGATAGAAGACAATCCTAAAATTATTCTCGGAGAGCGGGGAACCCATCTAGGTTATCTATCGCGTGTCATTGAATTTTCATTAGTTGGTAAATGATAATCTAACTCATACCTCATTGTGTTACTAATTCATATTTCAGGTTTTCCGCCTCCTCGACTTATTTTGGTGAAAATGCTATGGGCACTAATTTTAGTAAGTGCTTAAAATTATGCACTCCCAACCTCCCCCTGCCCCGTTGAAATGATACTTCCAATAATTATGCAATCATGGTTATCTTTCATTGCTTTACTGTGGTTTATGTTTTAATGAATATTTCCAATTCAAGCAGCTTTTCAAAATCCTTTCGAGGGAATTTTTACTGCTCTTCCCAAGCCAGGAGGAGGCGAGTTTGAAAAGTTTTACAGCCTTCCTGCTTTGAATGATCCTAGATTTACTTCAGTACCTGTACTTGCAAATTAAGCATTGAGAATCTCCTGCAAATGCTTGCTAGCTGATTTATCCTGGTTTATCCTGTAATTAAAGGTGGAATGGTCTTACAATGGTGGAATGGTTTTGTTGATGGTGTAATTAGTGTGCATTTGTTCCAGTAATGACCATTTGTTCCTGTAATTAGTGTGCATTTTGTTGATGGTGCCATTTGGTCATGTAATGGTGGAATTGTTTTGCATTTCAGTTTGTAATTAGTTTGTTCTCAATGTCAGGATGAAGAATCAAGCGGTGAATTGAGTACCGTTAATGAAGCAACGAATGTTGTGGCCAATAAGGAATTCGAAGATTTGCCAAACATGTTTGACTCTCTTGCTCGAATAGCCGATAAAAGGACGTGCGGAGGAGTATAGGAAATGAAAGTAGTTAGTTGTTGAACGAGTTATTCGTATTGTGTTCATTTTGTATTTGCTATCAAAGAATGGCATTGTATTGATATTGAAAACTGTTTGTATGATGTCATTTTGACAGAGAACTGTGTAGATTAGATGTTGCACAAAATCCAAATGATACTGAAGAATTGATATGGTGCTTTGTCTGTGAAGCTAAGCTATATGGAGTTGATGAAGGAAGAAGAAGATTTGTGCAAGGTATTAACTTATTCTAATTGGAGTTTACAGAAACCTTATTCTATTGTCTATTTCCATTTTGCAGCATCATTACAGACATGAGTTTACTTTCCTCGCCATCTTTTCCCTCGACACCATTTTCTCTATCCTGGGTTATTGGTTCTTTGATCTAAAAAATATTATTTATCTCTAATTCATTTGTGCAATCTAGAAAAAGACTTTACAGATGAATAAATTTTTTGCGCTGTTTATGGCTAGGACACTAAATGAAGTTAGAAGACTCAGTCTCCATATTTTAAGGTGTTTTAACAGATGGTAGCATGTTGGCTAATCTTAAAAGGTAGAAGAAGTTACATCAATTAACGTTAATTTTTTTCATAGATGATTCTCTGTGTATACGTTTAAGACAAAAAAATATTCATGCTCTCAATCTTCTCAAACTTTGCAAATAATTTGATGCTTCAATTGAACTCTCAGTATATTATTCAACAGTAGCTTCTATTCAAATGAATGTTGCACCATCGAATCAGAACCTACCAGCTCAAGTTAAAAAAATAAATGTTTGTTTACACCAATCCCCCCCGTCCCCCCTTTTTATGTTTGTTATTCTGAAAGTAAAGTTTTTACCTGTTGCTTTCTTGATTTTAATTCGCAGAAGTCAGAACGGTGCATTTTTGCCATAATTGTTGGTGAGTTCATGTGATAAAATTGCTAATTACTTTCAGTAAAAGTTTGGTTATGATTTTTATACATGCCATGTGAAGTGAAATTTGAAATGCTGAATTTTTCCCATCTTTTTGACCCCTTTTCAGTTGAACGATTCAACGATTTTTGGACTATATTTGTACTGGTTGTCAGTGGCAAATTTTTTTAGTCGAAATCAATATTGAATTGTCGTTTTGCTTTTTAATGATTAAACGATTCAGTCATGGCCAGCTTTATGTTGCAGTTACAAACCGTTCGGGATTGAAAATTCTTTGTTACGATCGAGATGGAGTACCATCCAATTCAATAGCAAATGTTGTTTTCAAAGAAATTTTTCAAAATTTGAATTAGTTATATGGTGTATATATTTTTATTTAAAATTACCCATTCACTCGCAAGTTAATTTTATGAAGTATTTTGCATCTAATTGAATTAGAAAATCAAGTAGCATATGTTTCTCATATTAGAATTGTTTATCACTTAATATAAATTTGTGCATCGTACGGGAGAAAGACTAGTTTGTTACGTAGGCAAAGAAATAATGAAAATGGGAAATTCATAATAGCACTTTGATTTGAATGAAATAATAATAATAATCATAATAATAATATGTTGTCCATTTGTTAATGGCATCCCATACCCCATCACATGGACTGGACACCATAACTAAAATCTTCAAATGGGAAAGGATTCATACAATTGATTGATTTTATGTTAAGGTCCCACTCACATGCAATGGCTCATTAGTCATCACCTTTCATCTTTCCAATGTCACATTCCAACGCCCACCACCTCCACCACCACCACCTCCACAAGATAATATTGACATGTTTAATAATAATGCATCCAAGGGTACTCTACACTATTAGATCAAAAAAGATTTCAAAAATATTTATCATATGGTTTAATAATATCGAATTTTGATTAGTTGGTATTACTTATGAGAAAAAGGTATGTATTACAAGTAAAATCTCGACAACTATTGCGTAATCGGCCATAAGAAAGCATTAATCAAATGATTTACACGAGTAATAGGAAAATGAGAATGCAGTGAGAATGATGATCGCTCGAAACTCGACAAAAATGGGCATTTTTAGGGTGAGATGGTTATGAGAGGAAAGGGTATTCTGGCTTCCTTTGGGTCGTAAGAAGCTTAACTTCTCATGCAGTATAAAAAAAGTTTCTCGAGCTCAGTTATGAATGACTCCATTACATGGGCTCAACTGAATCTTTTCCGGTCGAAAACTTTGAGTGCTTTAGCCCCCTAAACAAACAATTTCTCTTACTTCAAAATTTATATGCAAAATCATTTTTCTTTTTCAAGAACTTTGTTTAGCTCTTAATGCATTTTACTCGACCATGTCTCACTTATAAAATCCCCTCAATGAATAACAGCACTACTGCTTGAAAGAAGTGATTTTTTATTATTTTAATTAGAAAATGTACTGGGATGCATCTTTTACGGGACTAATGGTTTATGTTAGCAAAGATTCTTTAAAATTCATTCTCTTAATTAATTTCAATATCACGTTTTCCCAATAAAATTAATTTACACGTGAATTCATAATTTTCTCCTACTTTTTAATCCCACGTTTCATGACCAACATAGTACATCGAATATGCCCTGAGAATTGATCTCGTGGTGTGCCCTAAAAATGTAGCTCGACCATAACATAGACCCTCGGACCAAAGTTCTTGAGAACACAATTTCCATACCAGGAAAAACTTTAGTTCGATAACACTAATCATCAAGAAATAAATAATTGTCTACATTTTAAAATTGTATTCTCCTTCTGAGTCAACTAGAATCGACTTACCATAAAAAATGCAAATACTAGGATAAATGACCTCATTCAATAGGATTTTCAAAACTTATCAAGGGTTGAAAATATTGTGCAATGAGATTTTGGGACACACCTGATCTGCTATAATGGGTGCCTTAACCCAGTTGTGAAGATGGAACTCTCTCTAACAATTGCAACCACCCAAGCAAAATGCAGCAGTTGCCATTGGGACAGATTCCAGTTCCTCCCTTCTCATATTGGGAGCATCTGGTGGTCCATACAGAGCTGGCAAAGTCGTTTTGAAAGCAATTCTCTTACAATGAATTTTGATACCCGGGTACCTTTTAGAAGCTATTTAGGCAAGAATATGTGCCGTTAGGATTTCCGGAGCACCAGCTGTAACTACTAGATAATGATTAATGATGGTCATTTGACTCTGGACAAGTTTTCTCACTGTTGTTATCACCAGGCTCTGGAAAGCTTTTAAGCACCTGTAGTTTGGAAAGGGGGAGGTCGTAAAAAAATTAGAGAACAACAAAACTGAAACAAAGAAAATGTTATAAACTAAAGACAACTAAACAAGGAAAAACGGCAGTAATATAAACAATGAAAGCTGCCATTTACCTGATATAGGTACCATGAGACGTATGCGTCTGTGGCAGCATATTTTAGTTGTTCCTTTGATAGAACTTCAACCTCCCAATTTCCAAGTCGGATTTTATTTGGCTTTGGGAGCTACAAGAGACTAAATATGTCAGATTCCATTTGTGGAATGCATGTTCAAATCACAACCACATGAACTAACACAATGTCAGAAACCACATAATGCGCTTTTAAAACAATATGAAGAATCTTATGAACCTAGTAAGAGAAGTAGCAATATATATCTATCTTTGTTTACTATTTTTATGTTTATCCCTGCAAGAAATTCCAGTTTCTTCCAATACCATTAGATTGAATAACAAGTACTTCAAATGGAGCTTTGTAAATAAAACCATAGTAGAGAACAGATGAACCACAAGGACATAAACACTTTCAACCTACAGAAATTTTCAATTCATCAAACAATCCATGATGTGCCCAAGTGTCATGATCAAGCTTTCTGTAGTGCCCTATTATGCATCCCCAGTCCTTGGCCATATCTAGGGATGGGAAAATTACCCGCCTAACATACCTGATTGGTTCGGTTTTTGAGTTGGCTTGGACCAACCCGAAAAGCTTTGTTTGAGGGGGCGGGTTTAAAAATATTCAAGGGAAGAATTCCTTGCACCCGACAAAGTGAACCAACTCGGGTCGGTTTGGTTTCTAGTTGGGTGAAATCCCAACCGGAATTGTCGGTTCAGTTGTCGAGTTGGACCAGATCCGTGCCCACCCCTAGCCATCTATCGAGCGTAGTGCCAACTAACTATGCTAGACCCTGAGAACTGGGGTAGAGACTAGCCAGCATGCACCTCTCCAGAATCAGAGAACCAGACACATCATGCAGTCAGTAAGCTTCAGCAGCTTGCTAAGCTACGAGGTCTTCTGGATTGAACTTCTCCCTTTGACATTGAAGGACAATATACCTCCACAGTGTTTATTCTATGTTGGTCAAGTTTTAAAAAATCTTTGAAAGTGTGCTGTAACATTCATTCTATTACAATGAGTTTTATACACGTATTGCCAGTATAGTCCACCCATTTAGGCATTTAACGCTTGCAGTCAATGTAACGTGCTTTGATTGATGGAATAAGATTGTTTGTGAATAATGTCCTGAAATTGTTCATTTGATTCCATTGTATGCATAGCTGTAATCAAACAATATTATTATGCAACAGCGGGATTCTGGTGGCAGTAGCCACAGTGGTGCATTAGTTGCCATAAAATGTGCCTTTCCTAAGCCACAAATAGGCTTCTCGTGGCACAAAAGAATGGCATCCACTGTTATATAACTTTTCAAGAAATACTGAAAACTAAAATTTGAAAAAGTGAACCGAAAGCACTTGAATAATGATTTAAGCGCTTTATGCATGGTTTCAAGAAAATACTTTTACAAGCAACATTTGCCAGTCTTTTGCGTGATCGTCAAAGTTATGATTCAAAAGATTGAGTATAACCCTGTAATAACTTTGAAACAAACTAACAAAAACAAGATGTAAATCCTGAAAATTAAAGGAGTTAGAGGACTGGAAATTCAATTCAAGACAGCAGAGACACACTATCGTGAAAATAATATTTAAAACATGCTACAGGCAGGATTTAAAGTGAATTCATTTATTGACTAAGCGTATATAAGCAACTATTTAGTGCATATGCAATTCTTTAGTGGTCGCGTCGAAAGGTACATACAATGGAGGTTAGTTCAGCCCGGGAAAGTTAATGCCAGGTTTGGGGGACTACGTGGCATATGAAGAAATAGGGGACCGGATGCTTCGAGAGTGGTCGTCCACATTTTGTGGAATGAGAATGAGAACCATGGAAATGTATAATCAAAGTGCAATCAGTAATGGAGTGCTTCCCTCATAACAAGGAAAGCAAGATCATTCACTGAGATAATCAGCACGGTCAATTGAAATGAGCAGCGAAACATCTGTCTCCGTCTTTTTCTTTTCATCAAATAACCAAAGAAAATGAAAAGATAATATGAGCGCTATGGGGTCTGACCCCTTAAACAGAGATCTGTGCACAGAGGAAATGGATTTTATCGCACAAAAGATGATAAAAAGGAATGCGCTCCTGATATATCCTTTAAAAATGAAAATAAATTCTCTAACGAACTTCTCACTCCTTCACATTATAAATGTATCTTTTTTCAAGTTAGGTTATCCAGAATTTTTCACCAACTTGAGATGGCAAAGAATTCATTTTTTCCACGTCTACCCCTTCCAATCAAAATGCAACAAGTGGCTCACAGCCAATTATAAATCTCAGCACTTAAAGACAGAAATTAAGACAAGGAATAATACATATGATATAGTAGTGAAAGTTATATGAGGATCTTGTAAGTACCAGTCTGCAGATAAGCATTTCAGTTAGACTTGCTAGGCTCCACTTCTTTGCAGCCACACTAAGCTTCCAATTGGCTAGATTAGAAAGATCTTCCAAAGTCATTATAGATACATTGTGATCTTGGAAAACCTTAACCGCATCATTCGCAATGCCTACGCCCACCTATGCATGTAACAAGTCGTGTATTGAGTTGTGCTACAAAATATTACTCAAAATAGTAAAAATGTAGACTTCAACAGAAGTTTCAAAAAATTCTTTGGTGCCTGTTAAGCAAACCTTTAGAGAAGAGGGGTCCTCGAGAAGAAATCGCAGTTTTTGAGGTATTCCAGAATGAATGATATGCAACACGTAGCAACTATTGTTGTCCCCACAAATCTGCAAAACCGCAGCCTTCCCAGGTGCAACACCTGCGCAGATTAGCAATGCTTTTTACATATAATAGCAACAGTACCTATAATGGTCTCTCTTAGAATACAATTTTAAACGAGGCAAAAATTACAAGGTAAACAATCAGTGTATAGCATAAAAATTATTTTGTGATGAAAAACTAGAGCTTATATATATGTGTGCATACAATATAACGGAAAGTAAAACAAAAGTAATGAGTAATACACGAAGTACAACATTCTGAACTGTAAGAAAGGAAATAGACAAAATCATCATTTGGTGACTAAAAATAATATAATCTTCATTGATAACTTGTTTTAAGAACAAAATATATAGCTCTGTGGAGTGATAACATGGTGGGAGTTTTAACACCCTATCTAGCCTCACAGATATCATCTGTGTGCTGTTGGAAGATGAATCCATAACCTCAACATTCGCTTCCTTTAGCTTGTACTTCATATTTTTAACGGGGCGAATGATTGTCTATCTGAACTTTATTTGATGAAAGTTTAGGCATAAAACTCTAATTGCAGACTTTATAATCCCAATTGCAATCTTTCCAACAATAAGAAGCTACTCAAAAGAGAAGGGAAAAAATCCCATTAACTTCAGAGCAAGAAGCAGGACGAGAATTGTTAGCTGGACAGAACTGCTGCATTTAAACTTCTTCCGACGCACTATGAACTGTTAAATGGATATTTCACAATTTTCATTTACTCGTGATTTATCTCGTCCTTCTTTTCAGATTCAACTAGGTGCCTTCTCTGCTCAAGTTTTATGAATTAACATTTCCGGACACTTTTCCAGTGTGATCTACTTAAGACTTGCATTACAAATAAAACTCTAGTTTTATTCATTAATGGAGTTGAAGCTACCTTTTCTAAAAGTGGGTCTCCACTCGATATCCAGACCAAGGATGCACTTGCCCTCTTTACTTTTCTTAGCTTCTATGAAATGAAGAAGCTCATCTGCAGCCTTTTCTACCTCTTCAACAGTTTTGCTATATACAATCCGACCTCCAAATTTCACATCTGTGTACAAAAAAGAACTAAGGCTTGGGAAAAGGGTCTGTTAAAAATGTATAGTAGCTTATAGTTGAAAAGAAAAGCAAAATGAAACTCCTTTAAATAACAGTGAAAATAACTAATTTTAATTTGATACAATTTACCATTAGTACTTCGATTTTCAATTAAAGTTCTGATTTAAAATAAAAGACATTTATTGATAGGTAAACGATACTTGTGTACCCTATCCTTCCAGAAAAAGGTACAGCTTACGATGCATGATGTACAACCCCACCAAAGGTTCATCAGCAATAGATGTACATGCTCTTGTATATCAACTTGAGCCAAAAAAAGATCAAAGAACGAATACCATTTAATCGTTCACAAGAAAAGTATCCGGTTTCCATGTACAGCACAATAATTTTAATATTTCCGACCGCCATTTAGAATTCAGCTAGAATGTAAAAACGGATAATTAAAAATTTATGATACTATGCGAGAGAAAAAATAATTTTATTTTACCTTGATAGGGAAAGCGAACAGTATTATCACGAGAAATAAACCGACTTCTAGAGCAAGGAGAAAAAGAGAATGATGTGTGCAGTTCTTTCCGGAAAGTGAATAGAGATTCAGGCAATCGGCGGCGGGTCTTGGGAGGCGACACTGTCGAGGCAAGGTCGTTTGTGCACTCCAGCACGTGGCGCTTCTTGATTGACGAAGAGGACGATGAAGAGGAGGAGATGGTGGTGGCGGATCTGCAAATGGCGTCGATGGCTTCAAGTTCTTCGTCCGTGAAAGCCCGATCCCAATCAGAATCTGAAATGGAGGGTTCCGTTCCCATTTTTGGGAGTGTGTTTGAAGAGGCGGAGGGCGGGGCTTTTTGTTTGGTTGTTTGGGAGTGTGTTTGAGAACATTCAAACTATTTATAGCCAAACATGGAGCTTGTTTGGGAGAGATTAAAATCAGATTAAAATTGAAAATATAGTCGTTATTGTTGACTTTTATTAGACAGGTGGGACCCAATAANCGGGAATTTTTCCCCGGGGCGGGCCGGGGACCCCTGCGGGGACGGCTAACGGGGTCCCCGCCCCGCCCCGTTAAAAAAAAAAATTTTTTTTTAGAATTCAATACCTTAAATGAAAGTTTTCATTAATTCTAATAGAAAATAGCAACTAAAATTATTTGTCTAAATCTAATAAATTGGGTAATAAAAATAAATTATATAAAAAAATTAAATGGAGAATAACGGGGAAAGGACCTACCCCGCGTCCGCCCCGCCCCGCTGCCATCCCTACCATCTCATTTATATAGGTTAGTTTTGTTTTTCACACGAATTAAAAAAAATCTTATTTAATATTATTTAAAAAATAATTTTTATCAAAAAATTTCAAAATTTATCCTTATTTAATTATCAACGACTAATAATAATTTGGTCATAACTAGACAAATTAAATAATGATGTATTGGTAAAAAAAATAAACAAAACATTCGTAATAAATAAACAAGACTAAGTAATTGAGACAATAAAATAGGGAAAGTCGGCATATATAAATAGAATGTAGGGAGTATTAAATATCACACCAAGTGAGAATTATTTTTTGGACGGTTCTATTATTACAACAATTCAGTTATTTCAACAATATCTTACTTTTTTCATTTTTCAATATGTATTTAGGCCCTATTTGTTTTTGATTCTCAAATCAATTCTTATTTTTAACCACACATTTTTCAATAAANTTCTCATTCTTCTACTCATTATCAACCACACATTCTTCAATAAAATAATATTTCCCTCACATCAATACTTTTTTCTTCTTTTTCAACCACACATTTCCCATCATATCACTATTCAAAATCAATTCTTCCCCCAAAAATCCCTACCAAATAGGCTCTTAATTATTTCAATAATAACCTACTTTTTCGTTTTTCAATATGCATCTAATTTATTAATCATTTGAACTATTTGAACAATATTATCATTAATTATTCTGTCATCTATTTAGTTATGATAAATATATATTCGACACATTCATTATCTTACTTTTTATTTTTCAATGTATTTAGCCCTTGTTTGATTATCATTATTTTCAAAATATATTTTTCTCTTTCTTATTTTTAACCACGCATCTTTCAATAAAATAATATTACACACAAACACAATTTTTATCTTATTTTCTAACTACACAACATCCATCTATCTATTATTTCAAAATGCATTCTTAGCATGGGCGGATTCAGGTATAGGCTTGAGATTCGTTTTTTTGAACTGGGTTTTTGAATTCTATTTTTCTGAAGATTTTTTTATGGAATTTATGGGGTTTTGAGTTCATAACTGAATGTCTTTGATTATATTTTTGTGGGTTTCGTATCGTTTCTCTAAATTTAGGGGAAGATTAAATGAAAATTTCAAGAATCTTACTCCATAATGAATTTTAAATTTGAATTTTTTTAATTTCTGAACATTTTCTGGACAATTATTATTACAGTATGAATAAGAACAAAACTTAATGACTGAAATTTATTATTACACTCTCTGTCATTTTTTATATTGACTAAAATTTATTTAATTTCATTGTTCAATTAATGAAAATTACATTGCTCGTGTTTATAAATTCCATTGTCTCAATGTTCAACTTTAATTAATGAACATTACATTACTCTGTTCTTATCGTGTTTATATATCTTTTCTTGGTTTAATTGCTATGATGTTAAGTTCTGAATATAATTACCTTAAATAGGCTGTAAAACTATTACACTGACTTGCACTTTTTTGTTTATGTGGTTTAGTTGTAAACAATTGAGGTTCAATAGTAAATTTGTGGCTTCATCGATTTTGATTGTTGATGTAGAAAAAGTTCTTTCTAAAATCTAATGCGAAATTCTTCTTCATTGTCAACGGAGAATTTTGTCAGGTGTCAACAAGATTAATTCCATAGACACGTTGGAAAAGCAAAAGCTTGAATACACCATAGTAAGTTAAGTTGCTCATCTCTCTGCTTATTGCATTGCCGGCAAAATATTGAATTGAATATTTTCACCTACTTGTCTAAGTTGTTTTGTTGAAATGTTGTCTTGTCGGCATAATGATTGTTATTATTATCTTGCCAGTATCATGAATTATTTTTGTTGCCTTGCCGACTTACTAAATTATATTTTGATTGTCGTTAGAGCAATATCATTTATGATTCATTTTTTTTTACTCTTTTTTTTCAATTTTAAGAAATTGAAAATGGAAGGTCAACCACCTCTCAAGAAGAACAAGAACTTGTTTTCCTTCTTTCAAGGGAAGATCAACCTACAGAAAGTACAACTTCTGATGGACTAACTCAAGATCAGCCTTCATTTCCACCAGAAATCGAACGACTCTCATATTCAAATATTAGCATTGAACGGGAACCAGGAAAATGAAAGCAAATACTTGAATTTCGTTTTAATTTGTGAGATGAGATTAGAGTGGCATATCTAAAGGCGAGGCCTTATCAACCAAAACTTGTTGAGTATCCAAAGACACAAAGAAACTCTTAGTCCCGTCGCTTTCAAGCAAAATGGTTCAACCAGTTCCCGTGACTAGAGTATTCATCTATAACAGATATGGCATATTGTTTTTATTGTTATATTTTTCGAAATGATGGGAATCTGTCCAATTGTTCGGCACTGGTAACTTCTAGATATAACCAATGGAAAAGGGTCAATGATGGATTGAAATGTGCGTTTCTTATGCATTTACGATCATTGGATCATAATATGTGTGAAAGAAGAGCTAAAGATTTAATGAAGCCGTCTCAACATATTGATAAAGTGATGCATATCGTATCAAATTCAGAAGTTGAGAAACATCATTTACGATTAAAGACTTCAATTCGAAGTGCTCGATGGCTACCAATTCAAAGTCGTTCCTTCAGAGGTCATGATGAATCTACATCTTCATTAAATCGCAGAAATTTTCTTGAAATGATAAAAATTTTGGCAGAAATGAATATAGAGATTGATCGAGTTGTTTGAAGAATGCTCCAAAAAATGTCCAATACATTGCTCTGAGTATTCAAAAAGAAATCTTACACATAATGGCAAATAGAGTAAGAACGATGATTTGTGAAGAAATTGAGGATGCATAATTTTGTATTCTTGTTGATGAAGCACGAGATGCATCTAAAAGAGAACAAATGGCCATATTTTGAGGTTTGTGAATCGTCAGGGTATTTTGATGGAACACTACTTTGATATCAAAAGCGCCAGTGACACTACATCATCAAATCTTAAAAATGAGATTTTAAATGTTCTTGCTCAACATGAACTTGAGGTGGGAAAAATGAGAGGCCCGGTTATGATGGTACTATATACGGGGCACTTGGAATGGACTCCAAGCATTAATTCATAGAGACTGTTCGTATGCGTATTATGTTCATTGTTTTGCTCATCGATTGCAATTGGTGTTGGTTTATGCTGCTAAAGAAATTGATGTAATTTGGGAGTTCTTTTCTCAGTTGGACAATATTGTCAACATTATCACTTCTTCCCCTAAGTGCATTACAAGAGTTACATTCTGCTCAAAGAAATAAAATTGAGCATATGTTAGCTACTGGGGAGTGTAAGTTGGGAAGAGAGGCAAATTAAATGTGTAATTTACAACGATCATGAGCAACTCTTTGGAGTTCTCATAATGACTCTATAAAGAGCTTGATAGATATGTGCAATGGAACTTGTAAGGTGTTTGAAAATCTTAATGTCCATTGTCCAAATGGAAGATCTCGGGGTGAAGTTCGTGGCACTTACAAACATTTGAAAAGTTTTCATTTTCTGTTCAGTTTGCATTTAATGTATAACAACATGAGAATAACCGATGCTCTTTGTCAGACTCTACAAAGGAAATCTTTAGACATCTTGGCTGCTATGAGATTTGTTTCTATTACAACAAAGCTCCTTAAAAAATTGAGAGATGATTATTGGGAAGAATTTCTTTAGGAAGTGATTTTTTTTGCTCAAAACATGATATTGAGATACCCGACTTGGAAAGTTTGTATAAGGTTGGTCCTTGTCGTTCTCGTGACCAAATTACAATGGAGCATCATTATCACTTTGATGTTTTCAATTAAGCAATAGATTTCATACTAATGGAATTAAACACAAGATTTAATGAGACATAATTTGAACTTCTCACACTCAGTGCATCTTTGGATCCTATAAATTCGTTTGAATCATTTAGCATTCGTGATATTTGTACACTTGCTGAAAAATGCTATCATGCAGATTCTATGACATCTAATATAGTGGAATCGATGAATGCGATCACAAAAGCAGCAAATAACTATCATATTGTAGCTTTGCTCGAGTCATTGCGAGAAACTGTACAATCTTGGTGTTGTAAGCATAGGGATCTTGCAAATATCACTTTCACGAAGTTGTCTACTAAATATGAGAAATTAATTAGAGAAATGAGCATATAGTTGAAAAACATGAGGGTAATTATAGTATATGTTACATGAAATTCAATATATGTGACCCAATAATGAACATGAACGTTCTATCTCTGACCTGACATGATGTTTATTCTCTGCGCAGGTTTATCCTGCCAACCAGACAATATTTTCCATTGCGAACGAGGGCTCAACATTTGTTGTCAACATAGAGTAGCGTACGTGTACATGTAGGATGCTCCAAGTTGATCAGATACCGTGTCCACACACTTTTCTAGTGATAGCGACTACGAAGGGAGATCTATACGATTATTGTTCGTACTTTTACACATCACTTTCGCAGTGATAGCAACTACGAAGGGAGATTTATATGATTACTGTTCGTACTTTTACACACGAGAGGCGTACACGAATGCATACCAAGATT